GCGCGGGAGATGCTGGTGGATCTGTTGCCATGAAACGATTTTCGCGCCCACGTCGTTGATTTGAACAGTTTTGTATAATTTCATATTGATTGAATGTGGAAGTTATGAGCTGGTGTGAGGATCCTATGAGATATGATCCACCGGAGTATGTGAATTTAGAGTTTCTTCTCTTCCGAATTGACAAGTCAACTAAAGTAGCATTATTCCAAAAATGTGTACCTAAACCAATAAACATATCTTTTAAGCCCCAGGATCAGCCCCCACCGAACCCACACCAATACGATGCTGTCCTCAACCACATCACCAAGACCCTCTCGGCGGAGCAGCAGGCTGACCTCGACCGCCCGCTCGACGCATCTGAACTAGCTTCAGCTCTCGAGACCATGAAACGTGGCGAGTCGCCTGGCCCCGTTGGTTGGCCCGTCGAGTTTCCTCGTCATCCCCAACACCTTCGCGGAAATCTTAGTCCGGTTTTTCAACTACCAACTCTGCACCCGTGGCCGCCTCCTCCTCCAACAACGCCGCAGTGCAGTCACGCTGCTTTACAAAAAAGGGGACAGAACTACGCCGTCGAACTACCGCCCCATCACGCTGATGCCGGTGGAGGTCAAAATTCTGTCTCGCACGCTTGCGTACAGGCTCTCGTGCACCCCTCTCAAGCAGGATTCGTGAAGGGTCGCAGCATGCGCGATCACATCTACCTCACCCAAGCCCTCCAGCATCGCGCAACACGAAACAACGAGGAGCACTACGCGACCTTCCTCGACTTCGCGAAGGCATATGATAGAGTGAACCACACGTTCCTCTTCGATGCTCTTCGGCGGATGAACATTGGCCCGTCGTTTCTGCTATGGGTTCGACTCCTCTACACGAAGCCCAAGGTGCACTTACTGCTGTACGATGGGCTCGGACCAGCCATTCAGCCCAACCGTGGTACGAAGCAGGGATGCCCTCTCTCGTGTATGCTCTTCAACCTGTACCTCGAGCCCTTGGGCGATATGCTGCGGGCCTCGCCAGACCTCGGGATCCCGCTGCCTGACGGCTCCAAACTGACAAGTGTGTTCTTCGCGGATGACACCACGGTTCTGTCCAACTCGTTGGAGTCGGCGGAATACCAAATCGACCACATCGTGGGCTCCTTCTGTGCTGTCTCAAGCGCAGCGCTCAATCCGACAATTGTAAATGACACTCGTTTTGAACAATGCCGAGCCCCCCCCAGCTTCATCCGTGGACACCATCGCTCACACTCTCGCCCCCAGGACATCCGATTCGTTACTTGGGGGCTTTTGTCGGTACTCCCTCCCAGCAGATTACCACGTCCGCCTCATCAACGACCAGTTCCTCAGCTCGTTCACCCGATGGAAGTGCCGAGCCCGTACCCTGAAAGGCCGCCG